TAGTTCTCATTTTATTTATCAGAAGTGCGAACAAAGCTTTTACCACAGCAGGTTTCAGGGGTTATTCCCGGTTTAAAGTGACTTGGATGATCGAATTGGAGCAAAAATCAAAAGCTCAAAAAATCCCAGGACTAAAAATTAACCGCCAAAAAAATCCCATACACAACTACACGGCCGGAATACGCTGGCAAATCACGAATAACAATTTTCAGTTAAATCAAGCCATCCGAGAAAATTTTTGCCAAATTTTCGCTAGTTACCTCAAAAAAAACCCCAAATCGAAAATTTCAAAAATCCTTCGATCAAACCCGTCACTTGAAATGTAGAGCACTACTGGGGTTTCGTTCCACCCCAATTTCGAAAATCCAGAGTTTTGCTTATGACGTACTTCATAACAGCAAAACAGATTATCGAATACGAAGCTGAATCGGAGAGACCTTCAAGTAAAACGGAAACAACCACGAATGGGAAAAGAACCAAGTATCTTCTATTTTTTTGAAACCGAAATACACTCAACTCGAAAACGAAGAACCCTCAACTCCGGTGAAAGGGCCTGCAATCAACTAAAATGGGTCAGTTAATTTGAAGCGTGACTATCCCCTTTAGGCATTTGCGTTGCCTCTAGCTGGGCTCTTTTGCCCACTGCACCGTGGGGCATTTGGAATCAAACGTCTGTCTCGGGGAGGGGAGAGTATAGTAGAGTTTTACATTTTTAGCGCCTTACATTGAGAAAGTTTGCGGTATTGTGTTTGGCAAATTTTCATGCGGTACTTCTGTAATTGTGGTCTTGAATTCTAATATTGTGGTATTTCCAAACATGCGGAATTTTTTTTTTATTGGCTCGGCAATTTTTAGCATGGTTGTGTCGAATTTCTCGATTTTTCACTGCGGTGTAACGGTGTTCCGTATACCCCTAGCCGCTCTTTAATCTTTTTTCTTTTGCGCATGTGTATGCTTCTGCCACAAGACCGGCTTTGATAGTGTGATATTTTGCCCAGCTAAGGTTTCAGAAAGGTTTACCAAACAATATTTCCATAATAATTTGTTATGCGGTTGAACATATCAACAGCATGTGCAACAACAGCACCTTCATATTGTACCATTTATTATTATAATTATTATAACTATTATATTATCATTATTATTATTATTATTATTATTATTATTATTTGAAAGGGTTATTTTGGTGTTAATCCAATCCTAAGTTTTTCTAGTTTTGAAAGTAAAAAAAGTTTTGTTGTTGATGTGGTCATAGCAGCCAAACATCTTTAAGTAGCAAACCGCATTTATATACTTCAAAGTGTTTTTATCACGAATTTTTACCAACAAAGTATTACCAATAACGAAAGCTGTTGAAAATTATGACGATTATCCCCTAAGTTCTCATAAAGCTAAAAGTAGAATTTACCGAATTTCACTTGCACTGCACTAAAGAGGAACAGTATGTTTATAAGGATTATTGCTGCAATTGATTAACAATTATGTTTTCAAATATGGTTCTGTCACGTGTTACTGAAGTAGTATTGTAACTCCCTGCTGCTACTAAGTTGATTGACTAGGGCAACAAAAAAACTTGAAAAAACGTCGCTCTGAATCTGAAACTGAATCAGCAACCGAGATTAGTGAAAAGTTAGTTCGCAATAGTTGGTTACTAGGGTGGCCTGAGCGACGGGGCTACTGAATACGAAAACGCAGTTTTATATCTTGATTGAAAGCACAATGGAAAACTCAATCAGATTACGTGTACTGTCCCGTTGTTTGAAAATTACTTCACCACGCTTTTTATGACTCCCTGCTACAGACTTTTAATTGATTTGTTCAGTCAATAAAAGTTTTATACTAATGTGAGATTACCACTTGTGGCTAAATGAATGGTTGTTTTGGTAACAGTGCTTATACAAGTGAAGTTAATATTCATTTAAACTATTAACCGATTTTTCCAGATCAAACCGTTATGGCACAGAGTGGAAACGGAGCAGCATGTGAGAGTGATGTTACGTCACTTGGTAGCGAACAAGAGCTGAATTTTGATGATGGCACGCTGAAAGGTAAAGATTCTTACAACTGTTAATAGTGTATCACCAAAAGGCCTTTAATATTTATAGCAAACTAAGGAGAAATGAAATAAAATCTACAAAAAAGACAAAAAAAAAGGCATTTGAAAACATCGAACAAACAGAAGTGGTTAAAGAGTCAAAGTCGTTAAACAGTATCTCTACTGAGGGTGGTTTTTTTAACTTTTTATCTAGGCTTTTCGTAGAATTTGTGGTCGAACTTACCACTTGTGGCAAAATGAATGGCTGTTTTGGTACTAGTGCCTTATATACAAGTGAAGATAATCTCAATTTACAGCTTTATACCGATTTTTCCAGATCAAACCATTATGGCAGAGAGTGGAAACGCAGCAGCAAGTGAGGGTGATGTTACATCACTTGGTACCGGACAAGAGCTGAACGTTGATGATGACACACTGAAAGGTAAAGATTCTTACAACTGTTGATAGTGTATCACCAAAAGGCCTTTAACATAGAAATTTAAGGAGAAATGAAATAAAAGATACAGAAAGGAAAGACAAAAAACCGTCATTTGATAACATTCAACATTATCTCCACCGAAGGTGTTTTTTATTTTTTATCTAGATTAAACTTTTTCTAAAATTTGTGGTCGACGAATTCCTTTATCTTGAGGATTCACCGTTACATATAGCCCTGCATTAGCTCCCGGCATGTATGATTCTTATTTTCCCGCCACCCCGAAAGATGCACACGTACCGCATAACGGTTTAGTAGCGTGAGCTACAAATTTACTGTATTTTCAGCTCTTTTAGCATTTTTAACATCAGAAAATGAGGAACGGAACAACTAAATTTGCCCCTATTTCACAAGTCTGTGACTAATGTCATGATCAACGCCATTGATGAGTTAACAAGTGACAGCATTTGTCTAACCGAAAAATAAATAATCCCCGTGGTATTTTTCGTTTTAATCTGTAGCAAAGAGACGAAGACGGAAATGAACACACAAAAAAGTTGCACACGATAGTCCGCATTGTACTCTTATCTTTTGTACCAACAATTAAAATTCACCATTTTATTTTTTTATACCAAAGCAAGTTTTCTTCCCAAGAAGTATTCCGGGTTTTAAGAGACGTGGATGACCGAATAGGGGCAAAAATCAAAACCCTAAGCATTGACCCCTCAAAAAAATCCTATACACAACTGCGCACCAACAAGATTATTCAGTTAAAATCAAACCAATTAAGAAAATACTTGCCAAATTTTTCCTACCCCAAAAGAATCCCGGAATTTAAAATTTGAAACCCAAAAATTCCTTCTATCATCGCCGTTATTTGAAATCCGGAGTACCTCCACTGGGGTTTCGTTCCAACCCAAATTTATTAATCGAACGTTTTACTTATGACGTACTTCATAACCGCAGAACAGATTGTCGAATACGAAGCTGAATCGAAGAGACCTACAAGTAAAAAGGAAGCAACCACGAATGGTAAAAGAACCAAGTATCTTCTATTTTTTGGAAACCGAAATACACTCAACTTGAAAACAAAGCACCCTCAACTCCGGTGAAAGGGCCGGCAATCAACTAAAATGGGTCAGTTAATTTGAAGGGTGACAATCCCCTTTAGGCATTTCCGTTAACTCGAGGCTCTTTTGCCCACTGCACCGTGGAGCATTTGGAATCAAACGTCTGTCTAGGGGAGGGGAGAGTACGGGAGAGTTTTACAATTTTAGCGCCTTGCATTGAGAAAGTTTGTGGCATTATTGTGTTTCGCAAATTTTCATGCGGTACTTACGTAATTGTAGCCTTAAATTCTGATATTGTGGTATTTCTAAACATGCGGAATTTTTTTGTGATTGGCTCAGCGATTTTTAGCATGGTTGTGTCGAATTTCTCGATTTTTCTTCGCGGTGTTACGGTGTTCGGTAAATCTCTAGCCGCTCTTCAATCTTTTTTTTGCCCATGCGTATACTTCTGCCACAAGACCGGCTTTGATAGTGTGATACCGCGACCAGTTGCGGTTTTAGAAAGGTGTACACTTTTAGTGCCAAAGAATATTCCCATGATAATTTCTTATGCAGTTGAACCCATCAACAGAAATAATTAGCAAGGCATTTATAATAACGGATGCTGAAATCATATGCTGCAGCCACAGTACCTTCGCATTGTGCCATTTATTATTATAATTATTATAACTATTATATTATGATTATTATTATTACTATTTAAAAAGGTTATTTTAATGTTAATTCAATCTTGAGTTTTTGTAGTTTTGAAAGTAAAAAAAGTGTTGTTGTTGATGTGGTCATATCAGCCAAACATCTTTAAGTAGCAATCCGAATTTATATACTTAGCAGTGTTTTTATCACGAATTTTCATCAACAAAGTATTACCAATAACGAAAGCTGTTGCAAATTATGACGATTATCCCCTTACGTTCTATAAAGCTAACAGTAAACTTTACCGAATTTCACTTGCACCAAAAAGAAACAATATGTTTATAAAGATTATTGCTGCAATTGACTCCTGATTCTGTTTTCAAATATGGTTCTGTCACGTGTTACTGAAGTAGTACTGTAACTCCCTGCTCCTACTAAGTCGATTGACTAGGGTAACAACAAAAAACTGCAAAACCGTCGCTCTGAATCTGAAACTGAATCAGCCACCGCGATTTTCGAAAAGTGAGTTCGCAATGGTTGATTACTATGTTGGCCTCAGCGAATGGGCTACTGAATTCTGGAAAGCAGTTTCATGTCTTGATTAAAAGCACAACAAAAAACTAAATCAAATTACGTTTACTTCACCACGCATTTCATGACTGCCTGCCACAGAGTTTTGATTGATTTGTTCAGTCAATAAAAGTTTTATACTAATGTGAGTTCGCCACTTGTCGCAAAATGAATGGTTGTTTTGGTAACAGTGCTTATACAAGTAAAGTCAATATTAATTTAAAGCTTTTTACCGATTTTTCCAGATCAATCCATTATGGCACAGAGTGGAAACGGAGCAGCATGTGAGAGTGATCTTACATCACTTGGTACCGGACAAGAGCTGAATTTTGATGATGACACAGTGAAAGGTAAAGATTCTTACAACTGTTAATAGTGTATCACCAAAAGGCCTTCAATATAGCAAACTAAGGAGAAATGAAACAAAATATACAAAAAAGACAAAAAACCGTCCTTTGAAAACATTCAACATACGGAAGTGGTTAAAGAGTCAAAGTCGTTAAACATTATCTCTACTGAAAGTGGTTTTTTCATTTTTTTTTGTCTAGAATAGACTTTTTGTAGAATTTTTTGGTTGAGTTTATCACTTGTGGCAAAATGAATCGCTGTTTTGGTACCAGTGCTTATCCAATTGAAGATAATATTAATTTACAGCTTTATGCTGATTTTTCCAGATCAAACCATTATGGCACAGAGTGGAAACGGAGCAGCAAGTGAGGGTGATGTTACATTACATGGTACCGGACAAGAGCTGAACTTTGATGATGACACACTGAAAGGTAAAGATTCTGACAGCTGTTAATAGTGTATCACTAAAAGGCCTTTAATATAGCAAACTAAGGAGAAATGAAATAAAATATTCAAAAATGACAAAAAACCGTCATTTAAAAACATTCAACCTACGGAAGTGGCTAAAGAGTCCAATTCGTTAAACATTATCTCTGCTGAAGGTGGTTTCTTCATTTTTTATCTAGATTAGCTGGCTTTTCCTAGAATCAGCTGTGGTCGAGTTTACCACTTGTGGCAAAATGAATGGCTGTTTTGGTACTGGTGCGTTATATACAAATGAAGATAATGTCAATTTACAGCTTTATACTGATTTTTCCAGATCAAACCATTATGGCACAGAGTGGAAACGGAGCAGCAAGTGAGAGTGATGTTACATCTCTTGGTACCGGAGAAGAGCTGAACTTTGATGATGTCACACTAAAAGGTAACGATTCTGACAACTGTTAATAGTGTATCACCAAAAGGCCCTGAACATAGAAATTTAAGGAGAAGTGAAATAAAAGATACAGAAAGGAAAAAAACGGTCCTTTAATAACATTCAACATACATAAAGCCTTAAAGTCGTTAAACATTATCTCCCCTGAAGGTGTTTTTATCTACACTAGACTTTTTCTATAATTTGTGGTCGACGAATTCCTTTATCTTGCGGATCCGCCGTTACATATAGCCATGCATTAGCTCCCGGCATGTATGATTCCTATTTTCCCGCCAACCCGAAAGATGGACACGCACCGCATAACGGTTTATTAGTGTGAGCTACAAATTTAATAAATTTTCAGCTTTTTTAGCATTTTTAACATCAGAAAGTGAGGAACGGAACGACCAAATTTGCCCCTATTTCACGAGTGTGTGACCATAATCAACGCCATTGATGAATTAACAAGTGACACCATTTGCCTAACCGGGAAATAAATTATCCCCGTAATCTTTTACATTTTAATATGTAGCAAAGAGACGAAGACGGAAATGAACACACAAAAAAGTTGCACACGATAGTCCGCATTGTACTCTTATCTTTTGTACCCACAATTATAATTCACCATTTTATTTTTCTATACCATAGCAAGTTTCGTTCCCAAGGGGTATTCCGGATTTCAAGAGACGTGGATGACCGAATGAGGGCAAAAATCAAAACCCTAAAAATTCCCTGGACCAAAAATTAACCCACAAAAAAATCCTATACAGAACTGCGCATGCACCGACCAGATTATTCAGTTAAAATCAAGCCAGCTAAGAAAATACTTGCCAAATTTTTCCTACCCCAAAAGAATCCCGGAATTGAAAATTTTAAACCCAAAAAATCCTTCTATCATCGCCGTCACTTGAAATCCGGAGTACCTTCACTGGAGTTTCGATCCACTCCAAATTTCTTAATCGAAAGTTTTGCTTATGACGTACTTCATAACCGCAAAACAGATTGTCGAAGACAAAGCTGTATCGGAGAGACCAACAAGTAAAAAGGAAACAACCACGAATGGGAAAAGAACCAAGTATCTCCTATGTTTTGGAAACCAAAATACATTGCACTCGAAAATGAAGAACCCTCACCTCCGGTGAAAAGGCCTGCAATCAACTAAAATGAGTCAGTTAATTTGAAGTGTGACCATCCCCTTTAGACATTTGCGTTTCCTCTTTTACCCACTGCACCGTGGGGCAATTGGAATCAAACGTCTGTCTCGGGGAGGGGAGAGTATAGTAGAGTTTTACATTTTTAGCGCCTTACAATGAGAAAGTTTGCGGTATTATTGTGTTTCGCAAATTTTCATGCAGTACTTACGTAATTGTGGTATTACTAAACATGCGGAATTTTTTATGATTGGCTCGGCATTTTTTAGCATGGTACATGTACGTGGAGTTCTTATCCCTTTCAATGGAGTTTTTTTATAAGTTGGAGAAAATCCTATAGTGTTGGCGTTGAAATGAAACCTCCTCTACCGAACCTTTTGGCTGAACTTGCTTTATATTCAAGTGAAGATAATGTCAATTTACAGCTTTATACTGATTTTTCCAGATCAAACCATTATGACACAGAGTGAAAACGGAGCAGCATGTGAGAGTGATGTTACATCACTTGGTACGGGACAAGGGCTGAACTTTGATGATGACACACTGAAAGGTAAAGATTCTTACAACTTTTAACACTGTATCACCAAAAGGCCTTTAATACAGCAAACTAAGGACAGTTGAAATAAAATATACAAAAAAGACAAAAAACCGTCATTTGAAAACATTCAACATACGGAAGTGGTTAAAGAGTCGTTGAACAGTATCTCTACTGAAGGTGGTTTTTTCATTTTTTATCTACATTAGGCTTTTCGTAGAATTTCTCGTCGAGTTTATCACCTGTGACATAATGAATGGCTGTTTAGGTACTGGTGCTTTAAATACGAGTGAAGATAATGTCAATTTATAGCTTTATACTCATTTTTCTAGATCAAACCATTATGACACAGAGTGGAAACGCAGCAGCAAGTGAGAGTTATGTTACATATGGTACCGAACAAGAGCTGAACTTTGATGATGACACACTGAAAGGTAAAGATTCTTACAACTGTTAATAGTGTATCACCAAAAGGCCTTCAACATGAGAAATTTAAGGAGAAATGAAATAAAAGATACAGAAAGGAAAAAAAACCGTCATTTGATAACATTCAACATTTGATACATGAAGACTGAAAGTCGGTAAACATTATCTTCACTGAAGGTGTTTTTTTATTTTTTATAAGAGATTAAACTTTTTTTTAAAAGCCCTGCATCTGTCTCGGGGAGGGGAGAGTATAGTAGAGTGTTACATTTTATCGCCTTACATTAAGAAATTTTGTGGTATTATGGTGTTGGGCAAATTTTCATAAGGTACTTATGTAATTGTGATCTTTAATTCTGCTATTGTGGTATTTCCAAACAAGCGCAATCTTTTTTTGATTGGCTCGGTGATTTTTAGCATGGTTTTGTTGAATTCGTCGATTTTTCTTCGCCGTGTTACGGTGTTCCGTATACTTCTAGCCGCTCTAAAATCTTATTTGTTACCCATGCCTATACTTCTGCTACAAGACCGGCTTTGATAGTGTGACATTGTGCCCAGTTGCGGTTTTAGAAAGGTTTACTAGACAATATTTCCATGATAATTTGTTATGCGCTTCAACCCATCAACAGAAACAATTAGTAAGGCATTTGTATTAACGCATGCAGAAATCCCATGGTGCAGCCACAGCAGCTTCACATTGTACCATTTCTTATTATAATTCTTATAACTATTATATTATTATTAATATTATTACTATTTGAAAAGGTTATTTTAGTGTTAATCCAATCTTAAGTTTTGTAGTTTTCAAAGTAAAAAAAGTGTATATGTTGAAGTGGTCATAGCAGCCAAACATCTTTAAGTAGCAAACCGAATTTATATACTTAACAATGTTTTTATCAGGAAGTTTTACAAATAACAAAAGCTGTTGCAAATTATGACTATTATCCCCTTAAGTTCTATAAAGCTAAAAGTAAACTTTATCGAGTGTCACTTACACCAAAAAGAAACAACATGTTTATAAGAATTATTGCTGCAATTGACTCCTGATTCTGTTCTCAAATATGATTCAGTCGCGTCTTACTGAAGTGGTACTGTAACTCCCTGCTTCTACTAAGTCGATTGACTAGGGTAACAAAAAAAACTGCAAAAACCGTCGTTCTGAATCTGAAACTGAATCAGCCGCCGAGATTGTCGGAAAGTGAGTTGGCAATGGTTGGTTACTAGGTTGGCCTGAGTGACTGGGCTACTGAGTTCTGGAAAACAGTTTCATGTCTTGAAAGAAAGCACAATGGAAAACTGAATCAGATTACGTGTACTGTCCTGTTGTTTGAAAATTCCTTTACCACGCATTTCATGACTGCCTACCACAGAATTTTGATTGATTTGTTCAGTCAATAAAAGTTTTATACTAATGTGAGATTACCACTTGTGGCAAAATGAATGGTTGTTTTGGTAGCAGTGCTTATACAAGTGAAGTTAATATTAATTTAAAGCATTTTACCGATTTTTCCAGATCAAACCATTATGGCACAGAGTGGAAACGGAGCAGCATGTGAGAGTGATGTTACATCACTTGGTACCGGACAAGAGCTGAATTTTGATGATGACACACTGAAAGGTAAAGATTCTTACAACTGTCAATAGTGTATCACTAAAAGGCAATTAATATAGCAAACTAAGGGGAAATGAAATAAAATATACAAAAAAGACAACAAACCCTCCCTTGAAAGCATTCAACAATGGAAATGGTTAGAGAATCAAAGTCGTTAAACATTATCTCTACTGAAGGTATCTTGATTAGGCTTTTCCTAGAATTTGTGGTCGAGTTTAGCAAGTGTGGCGAAATGAATGGCTGTTTTGGTACTAGTGCTTTATATGCAAGTGAAGATAATGTCAATTTACAGCTTTATACTGATTTTTCCAGATCAAACCATCATGGCACATAGTGGAAACGCAGCAGCAAGTGAGGGTGATGTTACATCACTTGGTACCGGACAAGAGCTGAACTTTGATAATGACAAGCTGAAAGGTAAAGTTTCTGACAACTGTTAATAGTGTATCACCAAAAGCCCTTTAACATAGAAATTTAAGGAGAGATGAAATAAAAGATACAGAAAGGAAAAAAACCGTCATTTGATAACATTCAACACTAATAAAGACTTAAAGTCGTTAAACATTATCTCCACTGAAGGTGTTTTTTAACGAAAAAAAAACTGCAAAAGACGTCGCTCTGATTCTGAAACTGAATCAGCCACCGAGATTGTCGAAAAGTGAGTTGACAATGCTTGGCTACTATGGTGGCCTGAGCGACTGGGCTACTGAATACGAAAACGCAGGTTTATATCTTGATTGAAAGCACAATGGAAAACTCAATCAGATTACGTGTACTGTCCCGTTGTTTGAAAAGTACTTCACCACGCATTTTATGACTGCCTGCTACAGAATTTTAATTGATTTGTTCAGTCAATAAAAGTTTTATACCAAAGTGAGTTTACCACTTGTGGCAAAATGACTGGTTGTTTTGGTAACAGTGCTTATGCAAGTGAAGTTAATATTAATTTAAAGCTTTTCACCGATTTTTCTAGATCAAACCATAATGGTACAGAGTGGAAACGGAGCAGAATTTGAGAGTGATGTTATATCACTTGGTACCGGACAAGAGCTGAATTTTGGTGATGACACACTGAAAGGTAAAGATTCTTACAACTGTGAATAGTGTATCACCAAAAGGCATTTAATATAGCAAACTAAGGTAAATGAAATAAAATATACAGAAAAGACAACAAACCGTCCTTTGAAAACATTCAACATACGGAAGTGTTTAAAGAGTCAAAGTCGTTAAACAGTATCTCTACTGGAGGTGTTTTTTTAACTTTTTATCTAGATTAGGCTTTTCGTAGAATTTGTGGTCGAGTTTACCACTTGTAGCAAAATGAATGGCTATTTAGGTACTGGTGCTTTATATACAAGTGAAGATAATGTCAATTTACAGCTTTATACTGATTTTTCCAGATCAAACCATTATGGCACAGAGTCGAAACGCAGCAGCAAGTGAGGGTGATGTTACATCACTTGGTACCGGACAAGAGCTGAACTTTGATGATGACACACTGAAAGGTAAAGATTCTGACAACTGTTAATAGTGTATTACCAAAAGGCCTTTAACATGAGAAATTTAATGAGAAATGAAATAAAAGATACAGAAAAAAAAGGTCATTTGATAACATTCAACATTTGATACATTAAGACTGAAAGTCATTAAAAATTATCTCCACTGAAGGTGTTTTTTATTTTTTATCTACAGATTAAACTTTTTCTAAAATTTGTGGTCGATGAATTCCTTTTTCCTTGCGAATTAACCGTTACATATAGCCCTGCATCTGTCTCGGGGACGGAAGAGTATAGTAGAGTTTTACATTTCTAGCGCCTTACATTGAGAAAATTCGCGGTATTACTGTATTTGGCAAATTTTCATGCGGTACTTATGTCATTGTGGTCTTTAATTCTAATATTGTGGTACGTCTAAACATGCGGAATCTTTTTTTGATTGGCCCGTAATTTTTAGCATGGTTTTGTCGAATTCGTCGATTTTTCTTTGCGGTGTTACGGTGTTCCGTATACCCCTAGCAACTCGTCAATCTTATTTTTTGCGCATGCGTATACTTCTGCTACAAGACCGGCTTTGATAGTGTGATAATAGAGAGTTTTAGATCCGAGTTTACCGCGAACGTCTAACCGCTGGAGGTCACGTGACCAGTCTTTCGCGTCACGTTTGAGGTTTACGACGTGCGTTTTCAACGTGGGGAGGTAGGTTTTCACGTACGTCATTTACCTGAAAGCTTTTAGCGTATAATTCTTGTTTTATCCCACGTAATGATACAAAAATCTTGTGGAGCAAGTCTTCATCCATTAACAGAGGCACAAATTCGGGCGAAATGGCTAAATTTGATAAATCTTATTGGATCTTGAAAACAAGTGCCATTCATGGCTGCTGATTCAAAATGGCGGCCGTAAATTTGCAAGAAGAACTAATGTAAGAATTTACAGCTCTTTGCTGTTAGATAACCCAGTGTTACCGTAAATTTATTTTATTTCCACTGATTGATATTTCTTCTATTTCTAAATGGAAAAATAAACCTAGAATGGCTTCTTTAATCTACCTCCAATCTAAATCGAATAATGTTTGAACGTCGAACCGCAAACGGGTAACCGCAAACCGCGGTTAGAGGTTCGCGGTAAACTCGGATCTAAAACTCTCTAATAGCTGTGGTCACACTACAGACTTTTTACCTAGGTAAATTCGACTTGTTGACAGTTTACCTAGGGAAACTTGATTTTTAAAGTGTGACCGATTTTTCCCTAGGTAACTTACCTCGGGGAAATTTATCGTCTGGGTCTTGGATATGTCTCGAGAACAAAAGAGTTTCCCTTGACAGCTACCCCAAAGCGATAGATAGGGAAACATGAAATACCGAGGTTGCTAGCCAATAGACTCTCATCGGCGAAACTCTTGATGACAGAACCCGGACATAGCTCACGCGGTGAAAGAAATTTTGGGGGCACGATTCGTCTACGTCTTCGCCTTCCTTCACCTTGCATGTTGAATTAGCGTAAGAAATAACAGTGAGAGAAAAGAAAAAAACGTCTCTTTGATCAGTTAGATCCCTGCGCATCTTGCCTTCTGAAATTTACACTCCAAAAAATTCAACTGGCGTGAAAACCTTTGTAGCCGATATCAGTAGTGTGACCTTCCCAGAATTTTTCATCTAGTTAAAACAAAACCCGAGATGAATTTACCTCGGGAGATTTTTAATGAATTTGCCATAGGTAATTCACTTTTACCTAGGTAAAAGTCGGTAGTGTGGCCACAGCTAATGTGCCCAGTTGCGGTTTTAGAAAGGTTTACCAAACAATATTTCCATGATGATTTGTCATGCGTTTGAACCCATCAACACAAACAATTAGTAACGCATTTATATTAACGCATGCTGAAAACCGTATGGTGCAACCACAGCACCTTCACATTGTACCATTTATTGTTATAAATATTATAACTATTATGTTATTATTATTATTATTATTATTATTATTATTTGAAAAGCTTATTTTAGGGTTAATCCAATCTTAGTTTTTGTAGTTTTGAAACTAAAAAAAGTGTTGTTGTTGATGTGGTCATAGCAGCCAAACATCTGTAAGTAGGAATCCGAATTTATATACTTAACAGTGTTTTTATCACGAATTTTCATCAACAAAGTATTACCAATAACAAAAGCTGTTGCAAATTATGACGATTATCCCCTTAAGTTCTATAAAGCTAAAAGTAAACTTTACCGAATTTCACTTGCACCAAAAAGAAACAGTATGCTTATAAGGATAATTCCTGCAATTGACTCCTGAATCTGTATTCAAATATGGTTCTATCACGTCTTACTGAAGTGGTACTGTAACTCACTGCTGCTACTAAGTCGATTAACTAACGAAACAAAAAAAACTGCAAAACACGTCGCTCTGAATCTGAAACTGAATCAGTCACCGAGATTGTCGAAAAGTGAGTTGACGATGCTTGGCTACTATGGTGGCCTGAGCGACTGGGCTATTGAACACGAAAACGCAGTTTCATGTCTTGATTGAAAGCACAATGGAAAACTCAATCAGATTACGTGTACTTTCCCCTTGTTTGAAAAGTACTTCACCACCCATTTCATGACTGCCTGCTACAGAATTTTAATTGATTTGTTCAGTAAATAAAAGTTTTATACCAATGTGAGTTTACCACTTGTGGCAAAATGAATGGTTGTTTTGGTAACAGTGCTTATGCAATTGAAGTTAATATTAATTTAAAGCTTTTTACCGATTTTTCTAGATCAAACCATAATAGCACAGAGTGGAAACGGAGCAGAATGTGAGAGTGATGTTACATCACTTGGTACCGGACAAGAGCTGAATTTTGGTGATGACACACTGAAAGGTAAAGATTCTTACAACTGTGAATAGTGTATCACCAAGAGGCATTTAACATAGAAAACTAAAGGGAAATGAAATAAAATGTACAAAAAAGACAACAAACCGTTTTTTGAAATCATTCAACATGCGGAAGTGGTTAGAGAGTCAAAGTCGTTAAACATTGTATCTAGTGAAGGTATCTTGATTAGGCTTTTCCTAGAATTTGTGGACGAGTTTAGCACGTGTGGCGACATGAATGGCTGCTTTGGTACTAGTGCTTTATATGCAAATGAAGATAATGTCAATTTACAGCTTTATACTGATTTTTCCAGATCAAACCATTATGGCACAGAGTGGAAACGCAGCAGCAAGTGAGGGTGATGTTACATCACTTGGTACCGGACAAGAGCTGAACTTTGATGATGACACACTGAAAGGTAAAGATTCTTACAACTGTTAATAGTGTATCACCAAAAGGCCTTTAACATAGAAATTTAAGGAGAAATGAAATAACAGATACAGAAAGGAAGAAAACCGTCATTTGATAACATTCAACACACATAAAGACTGAAAGTCGTTAAACATTATCCCCACTGAAGGTGTTTTTTTCTTTATATCTAGATTAAACTTTTTCTAAAATTCGTGGTCGACGACTTACAATTTTTCCGCCAACCCGCCAACCCGAAAGATGCACACGCACCGCATAACGGTTTATTAGTGTGAGCTACAAATTTAATGCATTTTCTGCTTTCTTAGTATTTTTAACATCTGAAAGTGAGGAACGGAACGACCAAATTTGCCCCTATTTCACAAGTCTGTGACCAATGTCATGATCAACGCCCTTGATGAGTTAACAAGTGACACCATTTGCCTAACAGGGCAATGAATTATCTCTGTCTTTTTTTTCGTTTTAATCTGTAGCAACCAGACGAAGACGGAAATGAACATACTAAAAAGTTGCACTCGATAGTCCGCATTGTACTCTTATCTTTTGTACCCACAATAATAATGCAACATTTTATTTTTTTATACCATAGCAAGTTTCTTTCCAAATGGGTATTCCGGATTTCAAGAGGCGTGGATGACCGAATGTGGGGAAAAATCAAAACCCCCAAAATTCCCTGGACCAAAAATTAACTCCAAAAAAAACCCATACAGAACTACGCACAACCAAGATTATTCAGTTAAAATCAAGCCAACTAAGAAAATACTTGCCAAATTTTTCCTACTCCAAAAGAATCCCGGAATTTAAAATTTTAAACCCTAAAAATCCTTCCGATCATCGCCGTCACTTGAAATGCGGAGTACCTCCACTGGAGTTTCGTTCCACCCCAAATTTCTTAATCGAAAGTTTTGCTTGTGACGTGTTTCACAAGAGCAAAACAGATTGTCGAAAACGAAGCTTACTCGAAGAGACGTACAAGTAAAAAGGAAACAACCACGAATGAGAAAAGAACCAAGTATCTTCTATTTTTTGGAAACCGAAATACACTCAACTCGAAAACGAAGAACCGTCACCTCCGGTAAAAGGGTCTGCAATCAACTAAAATGGGTCAGTTAATTTGAAGTGTGACTATGCCCTTTAGGCATTTGCATTGCCTCTAGGCTCTTTTGCCCACAGCACCGTGAGGCATTTGGAATCAAACGTCTGTCTCGGGGAGGGAAGAGTACAGTAGAGTTTTAAATTTTTATCGCCTTACATTGAGAAAGTCAGCCACCGGCAGCCACCGAGATTGTCGAAAAGTGAGTTGGCAATGGTTGGTTACTATAGGGTGGCCTGAGCGACTGGGATACTGACTTCTGGAAAACAGTTTCATTTCTTGAATGAAATTAAAGCACAATGGAAAACTGAATCAGATTACATGTACTGTCCTTTTGTTTGAAAATTACTTCACCACGCCTTTCATGACTGCCTGCCACAGAAAATTGATTTATTTGTTCAGTCAATAAAAGTTTTATACTAATGTAAGTTTACCACTTGCGCCAAAATGAATGGTTGTTTTGGTAACAGTGCTTATATAAGTGAAGATAATATTAATTTAAAGCTTTTTACCGATATATCCAGATCAAACCATTATGGCACAGAGTGGACACGGAGCAGCATGTGAGAGTGATGTTATGTCACTTGGTACGGGACAAGAGCTGAATTTTGATGATCAAAAACTGAAAGGTAAAGATTCTTACAACTGTTCATTAAGAAATGGTAAACGTGCAGCGTGCAACCATGGGTTATGGATGCACGCGGGAGGTTGCTAAGCACGAAAGAAGCGTAAGAGTCGCACGAGGCGAATAGCCGAGTGCGACTCTAGCTTCTTGAGTGCTTAGCGAACCTCCCGCGCATCCATAACTCCATGGTTGCACAGCTGCAACGTTTACCATTTCTTTTTATAACATAATCAGAAGAGAAAAACATTATTTTCCATTTGCCTTCGGTTGAGTCATCGGTACGAGTTCATGTATGCTGCCATCTGCCCGCGCGTAAACAAATCATGTTCTATGTTTTCAAAAACTTGCCTTTGAGTTTTTCTTTTCGCTGAATCAACCGTTCTCCGTCTTCAGGTAAATTGCAAAACGTTTTTTGTTGTTATTCTGAATGGCATCTGACTACTTTCTCTTAATATTAGGGTAAAAACTTTGAGGAAAAACTATACCTGCAAATATAAACACCAGCTAAAGAGACCCAAAAAAAATAAGCTAAAACTAAATAAATGAAATAATTATCAAGCTTATTTATGTGACAATTTTTTGAAATAAACGTAAAGTAGAAATGAGAAAATTTGACTGTAATTCCTTTAGAATAACAGGTAACACTAATTTTAAAAAGAAATTAACTAGCTTTGTATCGAAATCTGTCTGGGGAAATCCAGCTATAAAAGTCAAACTTGCAACTGAAATTCGCCGACACACAGCCGGCGCTGAAGCTGTTATTTTTCGACCGTTCTCTGAACGATTGTTATGATTGAACACTGAGGAACAAAATAATACACACAGAAGTTATTTTTTGAAAAACTTATTTGAAAACCCAAATGTTTCTGTACTCAAATGAAATTCGCTTATTCCGGTGTATTGTGCCCGTTTAAACTCAACTAAAATTTTTAATCGACGCGATGAAAACTTCACAACAAAGCTGTCTCGAATTTGAGCGTGTTTCCTAAAATATTTGCTTGAATTTAGCATTAGCTTGACCAAAAAGTCAATATTATTAACACAATGCTAATTGATAAATTTACATTTCAAACAGACTTTCTCTTCTACAAAAAACACGCAAAATGTACCTTAAATCTTCGCTCGCTCGATTATCCTTCAGCCGATTCTAGCCGCGAGGAAAACAGTGATTAATTCATCGAGGGCAAATTTGTCGCTTGATCTTTTGTCTTTTTTTCCTTCAAAACGACAGCTTAGTATTTTCTTCAACTTCCACTTTTCATCTGTGCATTTCATCGGTGTATTTTACCGTCAGGAGAGGAGATTTGTTGAATTTGCCTAAATTTTACCGCGCTAGCTCAGTTTCTTGGCGTGCACCCACGGGCAAATGGTAGTGGCTAACTGACCAATCAGAGCGCGCGATTTACTTTTGTTATGTTATAATAGTGTATCACAAAAAAATATAAATTATATATATATATAAATATAAAAAAAAATCTATATAAATATAAAATATATCTATATAAATATAAAATATATTTATATAGAAATATAAGGAGAAATGAAATAAAAGATACAGAAAGGAAAAAAACCGTCATTTGAAACATTCAACATACGGAAGTGGTTAAAGAGTCAAAGTCGTTAAACTTTATCTCTACTGAAGGTGGTTTTTTAACTTTTTATCTAGATTAGGCTTTTCCTAGAATCAATTGTGGTCGAGTTTACCACTTGTGGCAAAATGAATGGCTGTTTTGGTACTAGTGCTTTATATACAAGTGAAGATAATGTCAATTTACAGCTTTATACTCATTTTTCCAGATCAAACCATTATGGCACAGAGTGGAAACGGGCAGCAAGTGAGGGTGATGTTACATCACTTGGTACCGAACAAGAGCTGAACTTTGAAGAAGACACATTGAAAGGTAAAGATTCTGACAACTGTTAATAGTGTATTACCAAAAGGCCTTTAACATAGATATTTAAGGAGAAATGAAATAAAAGATACAGAAAGGAAAAAAAAATGTCATTTGATAACATTCAACATGCATAAAGACTGAAAGTGGTTAAACATTATCTCCACTGAAGGTGTTTTTTATTTTTATCTACAGATTAAACTTTTTCTAAAATTTGTGGTCGATGAATTCGTTTTCCTTACGGATTCACCATTACATATAGCCCTGCATCTGTCTCGGGAGGGAGAGTATAGTCGAGTGTTACATTTTATTGCCTTACATTGAGAAATTTTGCGGTATTATTGTGTTTGGCAAATTTTCATGCGGTACTTATGTAATTGTGGTCTTTAATTCTAATATTGATCATCGCCGTCACTTGAAATCCGGAGTACCTCCACTGGAGTTTCGTTCCACCCCAAATTTCTTAGTCGAAAGTTTTGTTTATGACGTACTTCATAACAGCAAAACAGATTCGTGTTTTCCCCATTTAGCCAAAAAAAAAGGGAGAGAGAGAGAACAAGCCCATGCGGATTTATTTAAGACGGTCATTCCATCTAAGACAGACTTTCCATCCTTGACTTGTGGTCCTTTAGCACAAATTTTAAAACTCGTCCTTAATTAGCCGGGTCCACTAAAGACAAGTTTAATTCAAATGGTTTTCCTTCTCGAAAACTGAATCAGTTCAGCAAATAGACCTTCGCTTAATCCTCGCAATTCAATTTTCTTGCCATTCAAAACATTCAATTAATTTTTTCGATTTTTTTTATCACGATAGTTCTTATTTTATTTATCAGAAGTGCGAACAAAGCTTTTACCACAGGAAGTTTCACGGGGTATTCCCGGTTTAAAGTGACGTGGATGTTCGAATGGGAGCAAAAATCAAAAGCCCAAAAAATCCCTGGACCAAAAATTACCCCCCAACCCCCCAAAAAAAAATCCCATACACAACTACGCGGCCGGAATAAGCAGGCAAACCACGAATAAGAATTTTCAGTTAAATCAAGCCACCCAACAAAAATTTTTGCCAAATTTTCCTTAGCTACCCCAAGAAAATCCCGAAATCGAAAATTTCAAACCCAAGAAATCCTTCGATCAAACCCGTCACTTGAAATCCAGAGTACTACTCGGGTTTCGATCCACCCCAATTTCGAAAATCGAGAGTTTTGCTTATGACGTACTTGATAACAGCAAAACAGATTGTCGAATACGAAGCTTAATTGGAGAGACCTACAAGTAAAACGGAAACAACCACGAATGGGAAAAGAACCAAGTATCCTGTATTTTTTGGAAACCGAAATACACTCAACTCGAAAACGAAGAACCCTCAACTCCGGTGAAAGGGCCTGCAATCAACTAAAACGGGTCAGTAAATTTGAAGTGTGACCATCCCTTTAGGCATTTGCGTTGCCTCTAGACTCTTTTGCCCACTGCACCGTGAGGCATTTGGAATCAAACGTCTGTCTCGGGGAGGGGAGACTATAGTAGAGTGTTACATTTTATCACCTTACATTGAGAAAGTTTGCAGCATTATTGTGTTTGCCAAATTTTCATGCGGTACTTCTGTAATTGTGGTCTTGAATTCAGATATTTTGGTAAATCTAAACATGCGGAATTTTTTGTTATTGGCTAAACGATTTTTAGCGTGGTTGTGTCCAATTTTTCGATTTTTCATTGCAGTGTTACAGTGTTCGGTATACCCCTAGCCGCTCTTCAACTTTTTTTTGCGCATGCGTATACTTCTGCTACAAGACCGGCTTTCATAGTGTGATACCGTGACCAGTTGCGGTTTTAGAAAAGTGTACACTTTTAGTGCCAAACAATATTCCCATGATAATGTGTTATGCGGTTAAACCCATCAACAGAAATAATTAGCAAGGCATCTCTAATAAAGGATGCTGAAATCCTATAGCTCAGCCACAGCACCTTCACATTGTACCGTTTATTATTATAATTATTATAACTATCATATTATTATTATTATTATTATTACTATTTGAAAAGTTTATTTAAGTGTTAATCCAATCTTAAGTTTCTGTAATTTTCAAAGTAAGAAAAGTGTTGTTGTTGATGTGGTCATAGCAGCCAAACATCTTTAAGTAGCAAACCGAATTTAAATACTTAACAGTGTTTTTATCACGAATTTTCATCAACAAAGTATTGCCAATAACGAAACCTGTTCCAAATTATGACGATTATCCCATTAAGTTCTTTAAAGCTAAAAGTAAACTTTACCGAATTTCACTTCCACCAAAAAGAAACAATATGTTTATAAGGATTATTGCTGCAATTGACTCCTGGTACTGTAACCCCCTGCTGCTACTAAGTCGTTTAACTGGGGTAACAAAAAATAACTGCAAAAATCGTCGCTCTGAATCTGAAACTGAATCAGCTAACGACATTGTCGAAAAGTGAGTTCCCAATAGTTGGTTACTAGGGTGGCCTGAGCGACTGGGCTACTGAATTCTGGAAAGCAGTTTCATGCCTTAATTGAAAGCTCAACAAAAGACTGAATCAGATTACGTGTCCTGTTGTTTGAAAATTACTTCACGCATTTCTTAACTGCCTGCCACATAATTTTGATTGATTTGTTCAGTCAATAAAAGTTTTATACTAATGTGAGTTTACCACTTGGCAAAATGAATGGTTGTTTTGGTAACAGTGCAAATACAAGTGAAGTTAATATTAATTTAAAGCTTTTTACTGATTTTTCCAGATCAAACCATTATGGCACAGAGTGGAAACGGAGCAGCATGTGAGTGATCTTACATCACTTGGTACCGGACAAGAGCTGAACTTTGATGATGACACACTGAAAGGTAAAGATTCTTACAACTGTTAATAGTGTTTCACCAAAAGGCCTTTAATATAGCAAACTAAGGACAAATGAAATAAAATATACAGAAAAGACAAAAACCGTCATTTGAAAACATTCAACATACGGAAGTGGTTAAAGAGTCAAAGTCGACAGTATCTCTACTAAAAGTGGATTTTCATTTTCTTTTTTTATCTAGATTAGGCTTTTCGCAGAATTTCTTTTCGAGTTTATCACTTACGGCATAATGAATGGTTGTTTTGGTACTAGTGCTTTATATACAAGTAAAGATAGTGTCAATTTACAGCTTTATACTGATTTTTTCCAGATCAAACTATTATGGCTCAGAGTGGAAACGGAGCAGCAAGTGAGAGTGATGTTACATCACATGGTACCGGACAAGAGCTGAACTTTGACGATGACACACTAAACGGTAAAGATTCTTACTACTGTTAATACTGTATCACCAGAAGGCCTTAAAAGATTACAAACTAAGGACAGATAAAATAAAATATACAAAAAGACAAAAAAACCGTCATTTAAAATTATTCAACAAACGGAAATGGTTAAAGAGGCAAAGTAGTTAAAGAGTATCTCTACTGAAGGTGGTTTTTTCATTTTTTATCTAGATTAGGCTTTTCGTAGAATTTGTGATCGACTTTATCACTTGTGGCATAATGAATGGTGTTATGTTACTGGTGCTTTATATACAAGTAAAGATAGTGTCAATTTACAGCGTTATACTGATTTTTCCAGATCAAACCATAATGGCACAGAGTGGAAACGGTGCAGCAAGTGAGGGTGATGTTACATCACATGGTACCGGACAAGAGCTGAACTTTGATGATGACACACTGAAAGGTAAAGATTCTTACAACTGTTAATAATGTATCACCAAAAGGCCTTTAACATGAGAAATTTATGGAGAAATGAAATAAAAGATACAGAAAGGAAAAAACCGTCAATTGATAACATTCAACATTTGATACATGAAGACTGAAAGTAGTTAAACATTATTTCCACTGAAGGTGATTTTATTTTTCATCTAATATTAGTTAATACTAGTTAATAGTAGTTAATATTAGTTTAAAGCTTTTTGCCGATTTTTCCAGATCAAACCATTATGGCACAGAGTGGAAACGGAGCAGCATGTGAGAGTGATGTTACATCACTTGGTACCGGCCAAGAACTGAATTTTGATGATGACACACTGAAAGGTAAAGATTTTTACAACTGTTAATAGTGTATCACCAAAAGGCCTCTAATATAGCAAACTAAGGACAAATGAAATAAAATTTTAAAAAAGACAAAAAACCGTCATTTGAAAACATTGAACATACGGAAGTGGTTAAAGAGTCAAAGTCGACAGTATTTCTACTGAAGGTTTTTTTTTTAAATTTTTTATCTAGATTAGGTTTTCGTATAGAATTTGTGGTCGAGTTTATCACTTGTGGCATAATGAATGGTTGTTTTGGTACTAGTGCTTTACATACAAGTGAACATAATGTCAATTTATAGCTTTATACTGATTTTCCAGATCAAACCATTATGGTACAGAGTGGAAGCGGAGCAGCAAGTGAGAGTGATGTTACATCACATGGTACCGGACAAGAGCTGAACTTTGATGATGACACACTGAAAGGTAAAGATTCTTACAACTGTTGATAGTGTATCACCAAAGGGCCTTTAACATAGAAATTTAAGGAGAAATGAAATAAAAGATACAGAAAGGAAAAAACCGTCATTTGATAACATTCAACATTTGATACATGAAGACAAAAAGTAGTTAAACATTATCTCCACTGAAGGTGATTTTTATTTTTTCTAATATTAGTTAATACTAATTAATAGTAGTTAATATTAATTTAAAGCTTTCTGCCGATTTTTCCAGGTCAAATCATTATGGCACAGGGTGGAAACGGAGCAGCATGTGAGAGTGATGTTACATCACTTGGTACCGGACAAGGGCTGAATTTTGATGATAACACAGTGAAAGGTAAAGATTCTTACAACTGCTAATAGTGTATCACCAAAAGACCTTTAATATAGCGAACTAACGACAAAAATAAAATATACAAAGCTGACAAAAATCGTCATTTGAAAACATTCAACATACGGAAGTGGTTAAAAGTCAAAGTCGTTAAACGGTATCTCTACTGAAGGTGGTTTTTCATTTTTATGTAGATTAGGCTTTTCCTAGAATCAGTTGTGGTCGATTTTACCTTTTTGTAGCAAAATGAACGGCTGTTTTGTTACTAGTGCTTTATATACAAGTGAAGATAATTCCAATTTATAGCTTTATACTGATTTTTCCAGGTCAAACCATTATGGCACAGAGTGGAAACGGAGCAGCAAGTGAGGGTGATGTAACATCACTTAGTACCGGACAAGAACTGAACTTTGATGATGACAAACTGAAAGGTAAAGATTCTTGCAACGGTTAATAGCGTATCACCAAAGGCCAATGGGGGCAAAAAATCAAAACCCCAAACTTCACTGCACCAAAAAATTATCTCCCAAAAAAATCCTATACAGAGCTGCTCACCAACAATATTATTCAGTTAAAATCAAGTCAACTGAGAAAATACTTGCCAAATGTTTCCTATCCCAAAAGAATCCGGAATTGAAAATTTTAAACCCAAAAAATTCTTTTTATCATCGCCATCACTTGAAACTGAAGTACCTCCACTGGGGTTTCGTTCCACCCTAAATTTCTTATTCGAAAGTTTTGTTTATCACGTACTTCATAACCGCAAAACAGATTGTCGAATACGAAGCAGAATCAGAGAGCCTATAAGTCAAAAGGAAAGAATCACGAATGGGAAAAGAACCAAGTATCCTCTATTTTTTGAAAACCGAAATACACAGTCAACTGGAAAACGAAGCGCCCTCAACCCCGGTGAAAGGGCCTGCAATAAACCCACTGATATTGTGTTAGTTCTAAACATGCGGAATTTTTTGTTATTTGCTGGGCGATTTTAGCATGGTTTAAGTTGTCGAATTTGTCGATTTTTCTTCGCTGTGTTACGGAGTTCGGTATACCATCAGCTGCCCAATCTTAATTTTTAGCATGCGTATACTTCTACTACAAGACCGGCTTCGATAGTGTGATATCGTGCCCAGTTGTGGTAGTATAAAGAGTTTCACTTTAGTGCCAAACAATATTCCCACGGTAATTTGTTACGCGGTTGAAGACCCTCGTTGAACCCATCAACAGAAACGTTTAGAAAGGCTGCATTTATATTAATGGATGACGAAACCTATGGTGCAACCTGAGCACCTTCACATGGTACCATTTATTATAATTATTAACATTATGATTATGACGGATGCTGTTGATGATGATGATGATCATTATTATTAATTGAAAAGGTTATTTCAGTGTTAATCCAATCTTACGTTTTGGTAGTTTTTAGGAAAAAAGTGTTGTTGTCAATGTGGTCATAGCCCCCAAATATCTTCAAGTACCAAACGGATTTATCTAATTAACAATGTTTTATCACAAACTTTTATCGACAAAGTATCACTGATCAATAACGAAAGGTGTTGCAAACCATGACTATTATCTCCCTTTATGAGTTCTATGAATCTCCAAGTAAACTTAACCGTGTTTCACTTGCACGAAAATGAGACCTTATGTTTACAAGCGACATTCTAATGATAGCACATTGCTGCAATTGACTCCTGATTCTGTTTTCAAATATGGTTCTGTCACGTGTTACGGAAGTCGCATTGTAACTCCATGCGGCTACGAAGTCGATTGACTACGTAACAAAAAAAACAACTGAAAAAAAAAGCTCTGAATCTGAAGATGAATCAGCTTACAAGGTTGTCGAAACATACTTAAAGTTCGCAATGGTCGGTTACTAGGGGTGACGTGAGCGAGTGGGCCACTGAAATTCTGAAAAGCAGTTTCATGTCTTGATTGAAAGTGCAATGGAAAACTGAATTAGAGTACATGTACTGTCCTGTTCTATGAAAATGACTTCACCGCGAATTTCATGACTGCCGCCACATAATTTCAATGAATTT